TGCGGACTGAAGGGTCCCAGGTTCGGTTCCAGCCAAGGGCATGTATCTTGGTTGCGGGCACATCCCCAGTGGGGGGTGTGCAGAAGGCAGCTGATCAGTTTCTCTCTCTTCGATGTTTCTGGCTCTCTATCCCTCTCCCTTCCTTTCTGTGGAAAATCAATAAAATATATTTGAAAAAAAAAAAAAAAAGAATCCATCCAGGGTCTCACTTCCCTTCTGGTCAGGGCACAGGCAGACAAGAACCTCGAGGGTCTGAACCAGACCCTCCTGTCCCATTGGGTCACACAGGCCCAGTCTTAGCCCAGGGCCCAGCCGTGAGTTGGACTTGAATCCTGACCTTGCTCCTGACCCACCACATCTTTTTTTTTTTTTTTAAATATATTTTATTGATTTTTTACAGAGAAGAAGGGAGAGAGATAGAGAGTTAGAAACATCGATGAGAGAGAAACATCGATCAGCTGCCTCCTGCACATCTCCTACTGGGGATATGCCCGCAACCCAGGTACATGCCCTTGACCGGAATCGAACCTGGGACCTTTCAGTCCGCAGGCCGACGCTCTATCCACTGAGCCAAACCGGTTTCGGCAGTGACCCACCACATCTTTAACTCGAGCCGCAGTTACTCTGTCTGTTAAATGGAGATGATTATACTTGCCTCCTGGGTCATGCATGGTATGATTTAAATGCAATCTATATATATAAAAAGCCAGTGACTGGAACTCTGGACTACCGGTCGCTATGCTGCCCACTGCAGCCAGTGAACCGGCCCGATCAGGGCAGGCCGGCCCCAATCAGGGCAGGCCGGCCAGTCAACCTCCTGCCGTCTCCTCCTGCCATCTCCTTCTCCCGACAGGCCCAGCCCCGATCCGCCCTGATCGGGACCGGGCCGGCTGGACCCCACCAGTGCACAAATTTGTGCATTGGGCCTCTAGTAAGGAATATAAAACACTTAGCTCAGAACCAGGCCTGTAATTCGTGTTTCATACACAGCAGCAATTTTTATTAACAATTTCTGCTCACAGGTCCCTCAGACTGTCTTCAGGGAGTGAGTTCAGCAAGAAGTACCCACTGGTCAGACCGAGCTATGAGTCCAAAGGAAGCCGTGGTCTCTTTGTCCTGGGTACGGCCAGCCACTCTGTGGATTACCGGAAATCTGCTGGGGGCTTCATCCATGGATTCCGATACACAGGTGAGCCCACCTCCCCAGGCTCAGGAAGCACACTCAGGTTTCCAGCGGCCTTCAAGGGATTGCTCATCAGTAGTCGGCTGTCATAAATTCCGAGTCTGGGGCAGACAGCAATGAGGTTCCATGGTCTGAGGATATGTCTAGAAAAGCATCCAACAAGGTATAAAAGTATGTACATCTGGGGTGCATGTTACATGCCTGTGTCCTGTCGGGTGAAGTGCCATGTATTGGTGAGAACGCTGAGCTTGAGGAATGTTAACCTGGGTTCCTCCCCCGTGGGGTGGCCTCAGAGGTTAGCTTCATAACCTCTCTAAGCCTCTGTGGGGTACCCTCACATCAGAGGTGGGAGTGAGGGGAGGCCCCTGCCCTCGCAGGACTGTGGTAAGGACTAGACAAGGCCATACCTGGGACCGTGCAGCTGTGAAGCATCACACGCAGTTTTTGGGCACTGACAAATCTGAATAAGAATTGCAGCTGGAGCCCTGGCTAGTTTGGCTCAGTGGATAGAGCGCTGACCTGTGGACTGAAGGGTCCCGCGTTCAATTCTGGTCAAGGGCGCATGCCCAGGCTGCGGGCTTGATCCCCAGTAGGGGGCATGCAGGAGGGGGCGTGCTGATCAATGATTCTCTCATCATTGATGTTTCTATCTCTCTCTCCCTCTCCCTTCCTCTCTGAAATCAATAAAAATATTTTTTTTAAAAAAAGAATTACAGTTGGGTTATATTCGTTCCTTTTCGGAGCCTTAGGTACTGAGGGTATAAATTTTCCGCCCTCTGGGGAGGCTGTGGGATGGGTGCTTTATTGCGTGGCAGGTGTTACATGAGCCCGTTAATCCTGTCATAAACACCATGAGGCCCTGCACCCTGCATTCTGACATTTCTGTGTTTAATTGGATGCCTCGCACAGCCTTAATGCTCACTTTTGCACATCACTATCCTTCCAGTTTGGCAGAGAAAGGTAGTTATGTTTTACTGTTGATTTCCAGACAGTATATTTTGCACCCCACATGTGTTGTCAGGACACCAGGGAGAGAGTGTTAGTTGTCTGTAAAGCAGAGTATTTGCAAATTGAACACACATGCACACACACACACACACACACACACACACGGAATGAGAAGAGTGTCTCGTCAGCCGAGTCCCCCAGTAAGAAACCCTCATCACCGTTCCCATGCCCGGCACCCTCCCTGCACCCGCTCTCCTGGCACATGCCGCCCCGTCCCTCTTGCTCCCTCTGTCCTCTGCCCCTTTCTTCCAGCTCATAACAGCTCCATGAGACACATCCTGTTATTTCAACTCCGTTTGGCAGACAAGGAAACTGGGGCACAGAGACGTTAAGTAATTTGCCCAAAGTCACCCAGGCAGTGGATGGCAAAGATGGAAATTGAATCCATATCTGCCTGACTGTGGTGCTCACAGCTAACTGCAGAGCTTCAGGCAAATGAGAAACAGACGTGGGTGTGTAGCCACAGATTGCCGTGGTCAGTACTCACTGAGGACCCTCCTGGGGGAGGGACGGGTGACTACACAGTACATTCTGCCCAGACCTTGCTCATCATTCATCTGAGAAACAGGCCCCGAGGGAGACAAGTAGCAAACAGTAAGGCAGAGTGAAGCCACAGAAGATAAAAGCTGGGCGGAAGGCACAGACCGGAACTGCTTGGAACGCAGGGCTTGCTGGAAGCCTTGCCCATCCCCCATCTCTGTTCTGTACCCTCCCTACCAGAGTACCCACCAAAACAACCTTTCTTTTAAAACAAAAGCAAATAAAAACAACAACTGTATCCTTCCTCTATTCGCACATCTTGAGTGGTTCCCCGTCTCCGCAGGGAGTTCCAGCTCCCAGCACGGCATTCGGAGTTCTGCGCAGCCAACACCGGCTCGCCCTTCCAGCCTGGCCCCTCGCCTGCTTCTCAAGAGGTGCCAGGCTCTCGGAAGATTTTGTTTCTTCACATGCGTGCTCCTTTTGTCAGGGCTCCGTTCCCGAACTTCTCTAGCCGTGTAATTCCTCAGCCTTTTGCAAAACTCAGCTTCACGGTGGTTTCCTCCAGAGAGCCAGGTGTCTGGTGAGGCTGCACACCTCGCTGTGACTGTGGGCCAGCGAGTCCCCTGTCACCTGAACTGCTGTGTCCTTGCCTTTCCTGGATTTGGGTGTTGTGTTGATTCGTTTTGGAAGAGCAGGCATCTGTGTGCGGTGCCCCAGTTTCACAACTGTATCCGGCAGCCCCAGGCACGCAGAAAACGTCTCCTGTTGTTTTAGACAGCGGTTGCTTTTCTAGCCTGACATACATATACAAAGCATTTCAAAATAGAACTCGGTGACAGATTGGGTTTAGGCTGTGAAGGAGAGGGAGCAAAGGGTCTCCATTGCGATGTCTCCCGCAGGAGCGGGGACTAGGCGAGGGGAGAGGTTGCAGAGGAAGGCGCCGGGTCCAGTTTTGGCACACCACATGTGGAATGATAGCTGCGGGGCTTCCCTATGCAGGTGGCAAAGGCAGGGGGCAAACACGGGCCTGGGGACCAGATTCGGCCACGCCCCTTCACTTAGCTGTCCTCTGTGGCTGCTTGCACACCAGAGGCGGAAGTGAGTAGCGTGACAGCCTCTGCCAAGCCGAAAATGCTTCCACCTGGCCCTTCACAGAAACCACGGGCTGACCCTGCTCTAAGGCATCTTCTGGGCGTCGTGGTACAGTGTGTCTGGAGTTTAGAGACGTTGATGGGGACTTTATGTCCCTCCTGATGGCAAAAGACAAATTCTTCGTTTCTAATGTATTTTTATTGATTGCAGCAAGGAAGGGAGAGGGAGAGAAAGAGAAACATCGGTGATGAGAGAGAATCATTGATTGGCTGCCTCCTGCAACCCCCTCTGGGTATGGAGCCCACAACCCAGGCACGTGCCCTGAGTGGAATCAAACCGTGACCTCCTGGTTGATAGACCCACGCTCAATCACTGAGCCACATCGGCCAGGAAAAGGATAAATCCTTAAGTGCAGCATGCCCTCCCTCCCTCTGGCCATTTCAGTGCGTGCTGTTCACCGGCTGCTGGAGCATCGCCACCATGGTGTCGCCTGGCCCGCCACCGAGCACCCCATCACACAGCTGACCAGCTGCGTCCTCCGGCGCGTGAACGAGGCCTCTGGGCTCTACCAGATGTTCAGTGTGCTCGCCGATGTCGTCCTGTTGAAGGAGTGAGTCACCCACCCCACCACGCTGCCCCTCCGCCGCCTCACCTTACCCTCGTCACACCCCTGCCTTTCCCAAGTGTGGAATAGCCCAGTGGTTCCCTCCTAAGATGAAGCCTGAGGAGAAACAGGGGTGAGGGTAGGGGAGATGGATTTATTCTGGAGAAAAATCAGTGAAATCACACCACCAGCTCTGCAGACAGTCAGTCCTGAGTGTGAACCAGGCTGTGCCTCTTTCTACCTGTGTGACTTTGGGCAAGTTAGTTAGCCTCTCTGAGCCTTTCTCTCACCTACAAAATGGGGGTAAAGTGGGGGTAATGCATAGAAAGCATTTGGCACCAAGTAGATGAGCAGTAAACTGCAACACCAGTGAGATTCATGAGTTCCCTGGGGCTGGGGCCAAGCTGGCTCCTTCTCAGTCCAGTGTAAGGGGACACTTCCTGAGCAGGAAACTGTAGAGGGGCTGGAGAGAGGCCTCCCAAGGACGGGTGGCAGGTGAGAAGCAGAGGAAGAACTCTCAGAGGAAACAGCGGGCCCAAAGCCAGGGAGTGCAGCAGCACACCAAGTTCAGGTCGGCCTTGACCCTCTCACCTTCACACTCATTCACCACACAGACCACCCATAAGTCCCGTTGGCTCTCCTTCAGGTTATCTAGAACTGACCTCCCCGCACAGCTCTGCCCTGCCCCTTGGTCCGGAACACAGCATCTCTCACGTGCACTGGTCCAGCAGCGGTCTGCTCTCAGCGCATGGCCAGGGTGGCCCTTTAAAACACAAGTCCCACCAGTTCATCTCTGTTCAGTACTCACTGGGCCCGGGGCTTCCCCTCAGTCCAGATGAAACCAGGTGTTCCCATCGTGGCTTACACAAGCCTTCCTTGACCTGGCCCCACCCATTTCCCCACCCCCCTCGCCGGGCCCTCCCCTCAACTCCACTCCAGCCACCCTGGCCTTCTTCCTGTCCCTTGAACATACCAAGGCATGCGCCCCGTCCCAGGGCTCGGCTGTCACATCAACGTGAGCTGTGCAGGGCTGGTCAGAGTCCGTGTGCTGTTTGATTGTCACTTCCTGGAGGGAGAGGGGCACGTACACACAGGCCCACATGCACACGCCTCACCTCTGCTGCAGCACTGAGGGTCTCGCCTCCCATCTGCCTTGGTCCCAGGAACGGCACAGCATTCGAGTACCTGGAGGAGTTCCCCATGCAGATGCTGGCCCAGCTGGAGGCAGTCACCGGCAGGCAGGCCAGGCACGGGCTCTTCGTCATCAACATGGAGTACGGCAGAAACTTCTCTGGGCCCGACAAGGACGTCTTCTTCTATGACCGGTCTGTGGGGTACACGGAAGACGCCTGGCAGTCTAACTTCCTGCACCCCGTCATCTACTACTACAGGCACCTCCCCACCGGTGAGCTGGCTCTGTGCTCCCTCCCGCCTGGGCTTTCTTGAGGTGGGCACTCCTCGGGCCCCACTGGGGATCGAGGGGTCACCATGAGTCCCTCCCACAGCATTCCGCTGACAGAGGAGGACCGCTGGGGACTCGGCCCCAAGACAGGAGGTCCAAGAATGATAAGTGCTGGTCCCAGATTCTGGCCTGCACCGTGACCTGGGCAGGGCACACATGGGGTGGCATGATCTCCAGGCACCACAGAGTAGAGGGACGCGGTCTTGCTGTGTGTCTCCATAGGAGGCTGATCGTGGAGTGGGGAGGGGGGACTTGGAGACGATTCGACCGAACAGGGAGAGGAACTGGAAGCGGTTAACGCAGGAGTGGAGCGGTGCAGGGCAGAAGAGCTGGGAGGTGCTCCCAGGTCTGTCCTTTGCCTGCTGTGCAACCTTGGACCGTTTATTAACCTCTCTGAGCCTCAGCTTCCTCCTCTGTCAAATGGGGATAAAAACAGTCCCTTCCTTCCTGTGTGAGGATGAATGAGATGATAGATACAGAATGCCAGCACGGTGCCTGGCAGAGTAGCTACCAAGGGGTGAACCACCCGGGGAACCCAACTCCTGCTTCAGAACTTGAAGGGCTGGCACTTGGAAGAGAATGATCTGAAAAGGGCAGAGGTAGTATCAACAGGTCCAAGGGGCAGGACCACAGGTGTATATCCAATAGAAGGAGCAAGTAATATTGGAGCTGTCCCACAGTGGAATGGGCGGCCTCCTAGAGCCAAATTTCCCAGTACAGGGGTGGCTGGGTCATGGCCTGAGCCATCTGACAGGGACACCACAGGGGGGACCCACAACAGGTGGGAGACGGACTAGGTGAGCTCTAAGACCCCTTCCAATGCTGGACCCGAGCCTCCTCACAGAAAGACCAGTTTTGAAGCAGCCATAATAGACCTCAGTCTACGTGAGCCTTAGAGAAACATCAAGTTCAAGTGGTTGGTCTGAGTTCTGCCCTCTGATAGCACAAGGGACAAGTCTAGTTTTGTCCTGCTTCCTCGTGCTAACCTTCCAAGCATTCGGGGATGGCTGTGGAACAACGGACCGCAGCCAGCGCAGAGCTGTCCCAGGAGAGCCGAGCTCACGGGCATGAGTGAGCGGGGTAGGCGTTGGGAAGGTGCGGGAACCACGCCGCTGCCACTGACCCCAGGGTGGGAAGCCAGCTGCTGGGCTCTGACGCGGCCCTGCCTCTCCCCCACAGAGCAGGAGGTGAGGTTCCGCCCTGCAGACTGGCCCCTGCCACGGCCCGCGGCCATCCACCACATCCTGGAGGACTTCCTGACAGACTGGACCGCCCCCGTGAGCCACATCTTGCCTCTGAGGCGCTTCCTGGAGAACTGTCTGGGCACCGATTTGCGAAGCTTCTACGCAGGTAACTTACGTGCCCCGAACGACAGAGGGACTGAGCTCGAGGGCGGGAAGAGGCCAGAGAGATCATGCCCTGAGCGGTTCCAGGAGGCACAGCTAGAAACCCAAACCCAGGGCTCCGTTTCCCACAACGTGGTGGACAAGGTGTTCACAGAAACCCCTCCCAGACAGCACGCCTGAAAACGCCGAAAAAAGAACTGGCAGGAAAATTAGGAAACTTCCCAGAGCCAGATACTAAGAAAAGCATAAACCCAGGCTGGACGTGGGCCATCTGCTGGCCGTCAGCAGGCCGGGCCTGGGAAAGTGAGCAGCACTAGGGGTAGGAAGGTGAGGCTAGAGCAGGGGGAGGTGTCTGTTTAGAGACCTTCAAATAAGCTTGGGTCTCAGTGGGTAAACTAGGAGGCAAAGAACCCCCAAGACGGAGATGGTAGAGACCCACCGGGAGGGGAAGGCAGGGGGTATTGCCCCTGATGACTTCCAACCACTAGGCCTCACTTGTGAGTTTGGGGCCAAACTGCACACTGTCGCTGTGGTACAGCAAACACCTGTTACGCATCCGTAGTATATAAGGTACTACTCGTACCAAATCAGGTGAGAGGCGGTCAGTCCTTGTTTCATCCCGGGTGACATCCTCGGTCCACTTTGAAATAAAAATGTGAATGTGTACATTAAGAGAGATGGCTTAAAACAATAGTTTAAATTCATCGTCCACATACATGTAAATGCTCCAACAGAGGAGAGTCATAGAGCAGAGTACTAGCAAACTGTCGGCTTACACGTGAAGTACATGGAACAGGACTAACCTCAGCTACAAAGCCCCTGCCTGTCTCGAGGTTTCAGGAGTACACAGAGATGCCGGGCCTGTTAGGGAACTCCCACCCTGAGTCTTGGCTGTTACGACTGGATCATCACTGGCCCTTTAGCCTCCTGGCTCCCGCTCCCTAGACACTAGTACAGGCCACTCTATGTCAGTGCCTTGAACTCGGAAGAATCCTACCTGGCAGAGGGCCAGCTGGCAGAGGGCGGGCCTTCTCCCCGCCCCCTTAGATGGTGTGCTGGGCTTCTCTGCCCCCGGCCCCTGCAGGGGTGATGCGCATCATCAGAAGGGGGTGCTTGCCAAAAGGCCACCTTGCTGCCCCTCCGCCATCTTCCCCTCACACCTGCTGTCTTCCCTGCTCGGAGAGGGTCGTCAGGGACCCTCTGTGCTGTAAGTCAGAACTAAAGTGGGAAATATTATTTGTGTAGCAGCCTGCTCACCCATGTAGGCCTCCCAACATTCTTTGCAATACCAGGGTGGACAAAAGTAGGTTTACTAGTACAGCGGCACTGTGACATTCTTTGGAGTTAATAAAGCTGTTGTAATAATTATAACCTGCTTGTCTGACATTCGAATGACTGTAAACCTACTTTTGCCCACCCCTGTTTGCCCATTTTGTGAAATAAAAGACTCAAGCTGGTTTTCTGACACTCACTCCATTTTTCCATCCTGTCTCAGTCCCTCCGAACACTGAGCCCATATGTTTCATCCTTTCTATCTTTTTAAATCAAAGTTACGTAATACCTGGCTACAAGGCCTTTTCCCACCTCCATTCTCATTCTCCAGAAGGAACTGCTTCTAGCTCTTCTGGTGTTTCTTCCTATTTCTAAATAACAAGTACCCGCATGACTGCCTCATCGGCCGGATGACCCACCAACTGCTGTGGCACAGCGGAGGGTCAGTCACAGCGCCGTTGACCCGTTTTGTCTTCGTGACCCCGCAGCGCTGAGAGCAGGGCTCGCACCTGGCACTTGCCACTCAGATATGGTCGAGGGAAGAAATCTTTGCAGGCAACTCTGAGCTCAAAAGGGGACGGAGTCCCACCCCAGGCTGGCCCGGGCAGAGCATCCTGCTGGCCCCGTCTCTGGAAGCTGAGTCATCTCTGTGGTTTGCTTTCATTTTGGAGCCTCATTCTTCCCAAATGCTGGGGTAGCCGATTCCTGGAACGACTGAAGGGGCTGAGTTCCATGGCCACTCGGTCAGAAATGAGACACCCAGAAAAGTCAGCTCCCAGGCTCAGGGATGGAGGGTCCTGGGGGAGGCCCCGGCAGCTCCCCCTGCACCTCGCCCCACACCTCTCAGCCGGACTCATTCATCTCCTTTCGCTTTTCTCTAGAGTCCTGCTTCCTGTTCGCCCTGACACGCCAGAAGCTGCCGCCCTTTTGCCAGCAGGGATACCTGAGGATGCAGGGGCTGGTGGGAACCGGCAGCCTCCGGCAGCACCGAGTGGAGAGTGGGCTCCTGCGGGACTATGCCGCTGCGGGCAAGCGCAGGGAGGACAGTGGCCAGTGGCCTGGCCTCCGTGAGCCAGTAGACCAGCCCGAGGCTCCAGGGCCTCTGGACCAGCCCCTCAACAGCAACAAGGAGGAGCTGTGATGTGCGGGTCTCTCCCACCCAGGCCTTCCTTCCCACAGCACCGTGCTCCCACCGTGTGTGATTGCCAGAGGCCACTGGGATCACTGCAGTGGCCCCACCAAAGCCACACAGAGCGCGCGTAAGGGCTACGGGCGGCCATGCGGCGGTCTCCTCCCCTCCTGTTGGCGTCCACAGTGCCCAGGAGGGGGGGTCCACAGAAGGACATCCTCTGCCGGTAGGAGTCGCCTCCCACGGCCAGGCTTGTCTGCAAGTGAATTATCGCCGAGCACCAGGCTGGCCTCAGTCTGTCCCCATCAAGTGCCCAGTGGTTCCTTTTCCTTCTGGTCTACTCTTCAGACGGGCCTGTCGGTGGAGGTCTCACAGATGAAACTCAGCCTCATCTGCATAAGGGTTAGTGGCAGCTCTTTAAAATAAAAGCTCCAATAATCCCAATTACCTAGGGCAGGTAGGACTATTACTCCTGATGAAGACAGCAGCTCAGAAAGGTTGGGTGACTCCCAGGGACCCAGCCAGGAGTCCTGTCTGCTGCAGCCTGTCGCACCTCACAACACTGCCTCTCCTCGCCCCCATCTCTGTTTTCAGAAAGGGGGCCGGGGCCCTGGGGAGCTGGGCTCATGGTCCTGGTCCCAGCGGGCTGGCATCAGGCAGAGATAGCATCTTAGCTAAGCAGGCGCTCCCTGAGAGACGTCCTGCTCTTTCTCTCCGGGACTGCTCCCTGGTTCATCTTTAGTCTCTGTTTTCTTCTTCCACCCTGCCCTCTGGCTTCCTGAACGGTGCCTCACCTGGCGAGGCAGATCAAGTTTTGGCACCTTCCTGCCTTGCTGTGGGTTGCTTTTGGAGGTGGTTTGCCCGCTGTTTGAACAGAGCCCGCTCAGCTTGTGCGGAGACATTTATAAATGCGTTTGCATGATAACAATGATGGATTCCATTCCAGCTCCCTTAGCTATTCTGGCTCTTCCTTGTCCTTCCTCACCAGGGACCTGTTCCCTTCTTCACTCTCCCATCAGGCATTGCAGTCCTGTTCTGAGTAAGCCATGGGAAAGCATTGTACATAAAGCAATCGTGGTTTCTCAAGGTCGGGATTGTAAGTGATGCTTTCTCACTGA